GTGACCGAAAGGGAATCGGGTTAATAATCCCGAACCCGGACACGGAGATTGGTCCTTCGGGGCCCAGTGCGGTAACGCAAACCAGCTCGGAGACGCCGATGCGAGCCCCGGGAAGAGTTTTCTTTTCTCTGTAAGGAGATCGAGTCCCTGGAATGGGTTCGCCCCGAGATAGGGATGGTGGCTCCGTAGAGCAGTGCGGTTCTTGCGCTGTCCGGTGCGCTCGCGTCGGCCCTTGAAAATCCGAGTGAGGGAGTGTGATTTTCGTGCCGGACCGTACCCACATCCGCAGCAGGTCTCCAAGGTGAACAGCCTCTAGTCGATGGACCAATGTAGGTAAGGGAAGTCGGCAAAACGGATCCGTAACCTTGGGATAAGGATTGGCTCTGAGGACTGAGCCGGTCGGGCTGGGGACCTGAAGCAGGAACGGCACTGCACCGGGACTGGGCGGGGCTCGCCGTTCACGCGGCGCGGCCAAGCCCGGACCAGCGTCGGGACCTTCCTGTGGAAAGCCTCAGCTGCGCGGCGTCTGAGGGCTTCGTGCCCAAAGTGCTATGCTTCGGCCGGCAAAAAACAATCAACTCAGAACTGGCACGGACCGGGGGAATCCGACTGTCTAATTAAAACAAAGCATTGCGATGGCCGCTGGTCGGTGTTGACGCAATGTGATTTCTGCCCAGTGCTCTGAATGTCAACGTGAAGAGATTCATCAAAGCGCGGGTAAACGGCGGGAGTAACTATGACTCTCTTGTAGTGAAGCTCTACAACTTGTTCTTGTACTGGGGTCGTGCCTCCATGAAGCTGGGGAATGCTCGAACCATCTTTATCCCTAAAGTGGAGGCAGCTTCTCAGCCAGGGGAGTATAGGCCGATCTCGATTGGCTCGGTGCTCCTGCGCACCTTTCACAAGATCCTAGACAAAAGGTTGAGACAGATTGTTCACCTACGTGACGAGCAACGGGCGTTTAAAAGCACTGATGGATGCTTTGAGAACATCATGATTCTGAGTACGCTACTTAAGACAAGTCATGCCGCGGGGCGAAGCCTTTACATGGCTAATATAGACCTGTCAAAGGCATTTGACAGCGCCACACACACCGCAATACTGAATGGACTTGCACGCCACCAAATGGTGGGGAAGTCCATGATTGACTACCTGCATTGGTTCTACACAAATTCTACTACAACCTTGCAACACAGAGGGGTGGAAAGGACAGTGCGCCCTGGGAAGGGAGTCAGACAAGGTGACCCGCTGTCTCCGCTGTTGTTTAACGCGGTCATCGATGAGTTCATCGACAGCATCCCCCCGGGCTTTGGTGTGAGACTGGGTGAGGGGCGGTGCGCGTCGTTGGCCTTTGCTGATGACCTCGTGATTCTGGCGGAGACGGCGGCTGGCCTACAATTTCTCCTCGACAAGTTCCAGGAATTTTTGAGCACTAGGGGTCTCACAGTAAACGTAAAGAAGTCTTCGACCCTAAGCCTCGTAGGAGACGGGAAAAACAAAAAGGCAAAAATCTGCCCAGTGGCTTTCAAAGTAAATGGAGAACCACTTCGAGTGATTGATTGCTCAGGTTCATGGCGCTATCTGGGGGTCGAAGTTAACACATCAGGGGAGATATGGTACAATGGGGTGAATTTCGACGACCTTATCGTAAGGCTAGAGAGGGCCCCCCTTAAACCTCAGCAGAAGATGAACATTCTAATCTTCTACCTAATACCGAGACTAATCTATGGCTTGGTTATGAGTGCCAAGTCAAAGACATACCTACACCAGATTGACCGTAGGATTAGAGCGGCTGTCCGGCTCTTTCTGCATCTGCCGAAGGACGTTCCAGTTGCCTTCCTATACGCTGCGGTGGGGGACGGCGGGTTGGGGGTCACCTGTCTCGCGACAATGATTCCTCGGATCCGCCGTTCCCGGCTACTTGGGGTTCAGGGCGCTGGCGACGGAATGTTGGAGAGTCTGGTGACCATGACGGCATGGAAAGATGAGGTGGAGAGGGCGGGGAAAGGGGTGAAATTTAAGGGTGTCACGATTGAATCTAGAACACAGGAGCGCAGCTACTGGAGAGACCAGCTGCTGCAGATGGTGGACACGAGAGGGTTGAGGGAGGCACGGACATGTGCTGCTGCGGCCTTCATCCGGAACCCACCGCACTTTCTGAATGGACGGGAGTGTGTCGACCTAATCAAACTTAGGGCCCACGCGCTTCCGTCCAAGACGAGGTGCGCCAGGGGAAGGGCGAAGGACACCCGCTGCAGGGCTGGCTGTGCCTTCCCTGAGACACATGCACATATTATCCAGGTGTGTCCTCGGTCGTATGCGCCGCGCCTGGAAAGACATAATTGTGTGGCATCCTGGATTGCCGAGAAGATGAGAAATGATGGCTGCACGGTGTCCGAGGAGCCCAGAATTAAAGTAAAAGACGAAATCAGGTACCCAGATTTAATTTGTGTAAAGGGTGAGAGGGCATGGATTCTAGATGTTCAAATAGTCGGGGAATACAAAAGCCTTAACTCACTTAATGAGGATAAGATTAGGAAGTATTCTGCTCCGGACTTTGTGGACGCAGTAAGGTCCGAGTTCTCGGTAACCACTGTCGCCGTGCACGCCATAACAGCCACTGAGAGAGGGCTCGTTTGCCCAAGATCAGCTGAGGCTTTGGGCTTGCTGGGCTTTTCAAAGCGTGACATTTCCTCTTTAATCCTCAAGGTAGTTCGTGGCTCCTTGCGATGTTTCTACCACTTCATGCGGGGAACAAACCGAAGTGTGTAAACTGTTTATTGTTCTCCCCCATGTCTTCTTTCGTTTGTTGTTGTTTTGGAGGGGCGTAGGTATGTGGAATCTCGCCTGCCATTTTTTTTATGTAACCAATGTGTATGTATCTTTTTGTTTCGTTCTGTGTTTTGTGTTCTTTTTATTCTCTTGAGATTGTTGTTGTCATCTCTGTAATGGCCTCCCTAGAGTCAACTAGACATGTATAAAAATAAACAACTATCTCTTTTTTTCCCCTTTGCACAGGGGAACTCCTGTTGTGTGAAATTGAAAATTGAAGTGCTGTTAGTCTTCTTCTGTAGCAGTGTTCATTTTGTGTTTTGAGTGCTGTGTCGTTCCCACACTTGGATGTGCTATGGTGTCTGTGACGATGAGGTTAAGCTTCCTTAAAAAGCGAACGAGTTGGATTCTTCCAATAAAAAGTTAGCTAAATGCCTCGTCATCTAATTAGTGACGCGCATGAATGGATTAACGAGATTCCCACTGTCCCTATCTACTAGCTGTACATAACCAATACGGACTTCACATAATAATTATTTCCTACTAACAAAGCATCGATTTCAAAATTATTCAAATTGTTTTGTGGCGCAATCTAGACAATATTCTACACTATAGTTACCCCACAACTTGACATCACACACCATTATAATTGTATATTTGTATTGTCTTATTCTCTCTCTATATACAGATATTTAGATCCTTTCTTTTTGCATTTATTTATTAGCGTTAACACTGTTTCACCAATTATAACTATAAAACCACTTCTTATCTTGAAACACTCAATCAAAAATCAATTCACTTTACAAAACAAGCGAGAGCCTGGCGGCCCGGATATTCCGGTCACTGGGCCTGAATAAGGCTTTCTCAAAACATATTACTTAAAACTTTTTCAAAATTTCATTAGTGATAAAATTATTTGACCAAACCATTTTTCGATTAGCTTTAAGCTGACAATTACCAATAGCTATAAACGAACAATGCAGGTGAACACATGAGCAGGTATATTTATGAATAAACATATTAATAGATTTACTAACTTATTTTACTTCTCATTTTTTACAGCTTACAATAAACCACAAGTTAAAGAAAACACCTCAAGCCAGAAGAAACAGAAACAAGACACAAGGACTGCAACGGGAAATATAAATCGCAAACTATAGAAAAGGAGATTCTAAGAATACACTTAAAGAAAATAAAAGACCCCGCGATTTTTACAGGCCCGTTCAATTGCGAGGTTTCGCTTCTTCCCTTTTTCCAATTGGCAATTTTATACAAAAAAGGCAAAAGCAATTTAGCTTTATTTATTTAATTTATTAAATTTTTTTTATTATTTTTATTGGTTTAAACCTGTTATACCTCGAGTGGCACAGGTTGGAGAGAACTTTATTTTTCAGTCTTGTTTCCACTCTCCACTTAGAACTCTGTCCCTATCTACTAGGGGCGCAAGCCCCCGCGGTTGTTGCCGCGTGGGAAGTCAACCTCCACCTGCTCGTGGTGCGCCCTGCCAGCTTTATTGCTGCAACGGAGGCTCTGGCGAAAACCCCCCCACCTGGGATGGGGAACCCTAGCACTGGGGTTCCGCATGTGGACGGGGGGGACAAAAAGGGCCTGGGAACCCTAGCTTACCCCATGGAAGCGGAGCCACTGAGGCGGGGTCCATACCAGGGGAAGCTATCATAAAGGTGGTGCCCCTCGTAACTTCCCACGTAGGGAGGTGCCCCCGCATGGTGGCGGGGGTGATCTCCAGGGGAGCCGAGGGATATAAAAGTGATCACTGATCGGCGGGGCTGGATGGTTCATGGTTGCCATTCAGTGACCGTCGGACCCGCTGTGAGACGCACTCATGTCTTAGTAGCGGAGCCGGACAGTGAGTCGAGCAAGTGGGTACTTTTAGTACCACTGGTTTTCCCGGGCCGTTCCACTGGCTGTACAATACAATAGTTGGTTTCATTTATAACCCCTTAATTCCAATTGGCTATTTCCTGAAATTTTCACTTGTTCACATGATCCTATTCATTTTTATTGGAATTGGGTCAAGCCTGCGGTGCGAAAGCGGGAGCGGGCAGGGGACAAGTTTTTCTTAAATTTTTTACGAGTGCCCCGACTCAAAATCTGTCCCTATCTACTACTTACTTGCTGCTGGCAACCTTGGGACCGGGCAGACCGGAGGTGAGTTGGCTCCAGCAATTTTTTGCTTGTTTTCATCGGTTTGGAGGCGGTTCTCGCGATTCTTTTTCCCTCACGGTTTCGCGAGGGTCCGGGGAACGCGAGGATACCAACTACTTTAGTGAGAACAGCGTAGTTTTGATCGCTCCGAGACTTTGAAATTCGACCGGCCGGCTCCCATAGCTAACAGCTGGGGACACAGAATCGCTTGTAACTTTAATTCTGTCGGCTCAATCTTTCTCAAATTTTAGGGAAGGGCAGATAGGAAACTCAGCATCTCGTACATAAAATTATAACCTGATAGCGAGTTTAGTTAAATAATTACAACCGATCCAAAATTCAAAGCGAGGCGACCGCCATATTGGTTGTTTAGAGGCGATTCAAGATGGCGCCGCCCTGAACTGTAGTGGGGGCGGACACCTTGGGACACCCAAGCGGAACGAAGTGCGGTTTACGCAGGCGAACGACATCCGAGACGCCCCCTACAGAGGAAACAGGGAACTTAAATCTGAAACTTCAAAAATTTGTAGAAAATAAACCGTAGAAGATAGAGGAAAACAAATTCAATTTTCGTATTGACAAATTAAATGCTCTAAACAAATATCCGGCTTTTAGACTCGTAAGGTAATCGGAAATACATAAAGTGCATACCCCCCCCCTAAAAACCGCACCCCCCCCCCCTATTCGTCACGGAGTAAAAACCGAGGGGAAGTTTGGAAACAGAAGAAAACACTCCTAAGTTAAAACAGGCGGACGCATTAACCGTTTTAAGAGATTATTAGGGACGTAACCTAATAAACGTCCAGTAACAGAACAAAGATGCCAAGAGCGGGGCCTCACCATATAAGCTCGGAGGAAGAGGGCTCGGAACTCGATGTAGATAATGATTATCACTCGGTCGAGCAGGAAGCAATGGAACAAGACCCGCATAAAGGCAAAAAACGAAAGAAAAAGAAACCAGCTAAAAAGCTACCTACGACAGATGAAGACACCACACAGGAGGAGCCCGGAGAGACTAGGGGTAATGCCACAAGGACAGAAAAACGAACTAAGGGAATGCCCAACGCTAAACCGAGGGAGGCTCAGCCCTCAACGTTGGGAAGTGGCCTCAGCAATGAACCTGTAGAATTTCGTACCCGACTAGGTCAGGCACAGCTGTGCTGCGTAAACGCCATCGCACCGTTGGGGGGAATTCTAACTCGAGAACAACTGGAAGGGATCACTGCAAGCGTGCAGATGATCACTAACATTTGCACCGATCTGATTGCTCGGAATGCATACCTAGAGGGGCGACTGGAGACACAGTCCAACATCGCTACCCAGCACATTCAGAGGAGGAGATACGCTGAGGCAGTAGGGGGCCAGAGTCGGGCTGGTCAGAGCCAACCTTCAGACACACAGGGAGAGGCCCTTCTGACACCAAGGGACAGAGACGAAGGAAAGGCAGCCTTACTCCTATATCCGACAAAGCCGAATGAACAAAACGGGTTCGCACAGGTAAGCTCGATCCTCAAAAGCTCTATCGACCCGGAGGACCTGGGACTGCGTGAACCCGTGCTCAAACCGATTAGGGGAGGAGCTGTTATTACCAGTTCGTGCAAAGAGGGGATTGAGAAGCTTGAACAGATCGTGACCACAAACTCAACTCTGAAACAACACCTCAGGGCGAAGCGACCGTACTCGCGTAACCCGCAGCTAAAGATACGCGGGGTCGTCACAGCAGACCCAGCCATCATAAGACGCAAGCTAATCACACACAACAAACTCCAGGGCACCGAAGACGACATCCAAATCATTCATGTGTTCTCAGGAAACAATGGACTTTCGACAGTAATCGTAGAGGTTACTCCTGGCATCTTCAGCCAACTCCAGGAGAAGGAACGAGTTTTCCTCGACTGGACATCTTGCCCTATTGAGGAAAACCTCCATGTTCCTTTCTGTAAACGATGCAGTAGCTACGGACACACAGCCGCACGGTGTCAGTCTGAAGTCAGGTGCTGCAACTGTGGGCAAAAGCACCCGTTGTCAGAGTGTCAAGCGGGGGTGTACAAATGCCCGTGCTGTACAGAGGTATCCCAGAGAGACAAAAGTAAAAAGGTAGATACCAGGCACTCAGCACTGTCGGAGAAATGCCCCACCTATCAACTCCAGGTGGAGCGATTGAAACGAAAGATCAGGTATCAGTAGGATAAGGAGCAGTATCAAGAAATCGCAGGGAAGTAGCAGGACAGATGTTCGGACCCAATAGACTAAATCATTTTACATCCCCTCACAATCAACCTTCATCTATAAACATAATACAACATAACTGCAACCATTCCTACACAGCGACGGAACACCTACGGATAACACAAAACGCAACTGACACACATATATGCCTACTTCAGGAGCCTTACCACTATAAAAATAAGATAATTGGTTTTGCCATCACGGACACTATACTACAGTATCATACTCAGCCACGGGTAGCAATCATAATTCACTCGAAATCATTTGACATTCATGTAACATACACATCTAGGGACATAATAGCTGCTCGACTAACTACAAAAGACACCGATTTCTATGTTATTTCTGTTTATGCTCCCCCACAGGACGATATTGATCCCACACTTACTACTCTCCGCGAGCTGGTCTCTGAGTACAGTCCCATCCCAGTCCTAATTGGCGGTGATTTTAACTCAAAGAGCGTGATCTGGGGGGGGAATAGAACAGATGATAGGGGAACACAACTAGCTCAATTTTTAGTGTCAATGGACCTCCACCCACTTAATTATCCTGACTCGTTACCCACCTTTCAATCCTCCCGGGGAAAAAGTTGGATAGACGTAACAGTAGCCTCACAAACCTTTCTTAAAGATATTTCACATTGGTCAGTCCTTCACGATACAACAGGCAGCGATCACAACTATATATTTATACAGGCATATACTAAATCCACATTACAGACAAAAAAACTTACAAAACCAGGCCAGGCCAGACTTCTTAAAAACCTTGCACACGATTCCTGGATCATATATATCCAGTCCCAGCCCATTCAGTCATGTGAGGAGCTGCAAAATATCATAGAAAAATTGTATAGGAAGTTGCACATACTCTTTGAAAAGTACTCAAAATACGTTACCATTAGCACCCGACAGGCACCGTGGTGGACGCCAGAATTGGAGATGGAGAGAAAACGTGTACGAGCACAACGAAGACGCTACCAGCGAGCAGTGTATCCATTACGTCCAATATTTAAAGCACAATACACGATGGCACACAAGGCGTACAAAATACTAGTTAAAAATGCCAAAACCAATTCCTGGCAAAAATTTTGTTCTCAGGTTATTCGATCTAATATCTTTACGATACCTTATAAGATTGCATTAAATCGAATTAAACGTCCAATTATGATACCTTCCATAATTAAACCGGATGGAACATACACACAATCCCTAGCCGATTCGATTAAACAAATCCTAGAACACCAATTCCCCCGCGACGATCCTTCCCATTACACCCCAACCCAGGAAACACTTGTTCGCCAGGTCCAGACACCACCTGACTCTCCCAATGACCACCCTTTTACCCTTATGGAACTCTCGCATGTCATCCTCAACATTCCTGAACGAATCACTCCTGGTATGGACAATATAACCGCATCCCTGGTAAAAAACCTATTGTCTCTCTACCCAACTCTCCTGTTAAAACTGTTTAATGGTTGTCTTAAATACTCTTACTTCCCTGACATCTGGAAAGAATCTCGAGCTATCCTGCTTCCTAAACCCGATAAACCGACTGACCTACCCTCATCCTACCGCCCTATCTGCATCAACTCTATATTTGGCAAGGTTTTAGAAAAGCTCCTCAATAATAGACTTTACCATTTCCTCCATTCACGTAAACTCTTACACCCAAAACAATTCGGCTTTACTCACAACACTTCTGCCACAGCAGCCCTCGTAAATCTTAAAAACAAGCTTAAATCAGTTATAACAACAGACAATAAAACCCTTCTCATCTCACTTGACATTTCTAACGCCTTTAATACCATCTGGATTCCCTTTGTTCTAGACTTCTTTAAACGTAACAACCTCCCCCGCAACCTGTACCTTCTTCTCAATGCTGCCCTCTCCGATCGTTCTATCACATACCCTCTCCGATCTTCAAAAGTCACTCTAGCAACCTCTCTGGGAAGCCCCCAAGGCTCTCCCCTCAGCCCCCTTCTATGGAATGTTCTAATCTCCTCCCTCTTAGACTTACCCTTTCCTGAAAACGCAAATATTCAAGCATTCGCAGACGACATAACTTTAACAGTATCAGGCAAAACTCGATTACAACTTGAGATGACTGCTAATTCAGCCCTTAACCTCATTTATAATTGGAGTACTGAACACCACATACACTTTAACATAGATAAATGTAAGTTTCTACTTATCGGCCGACATTATATTAAACGCCCGCCAACGATCAAATTAGGTCATCAAAACATCAGACACGTTAAAGAACTTAAAATTTTAGGTGTCATATTCGATACTTCCCTCACTTTCCTACCACACGCTACTCATCTCCGTAATCAAATCTACAAACATACCATCGCCCTCTCTTCTTTCACCGGAATTCACTGGGGATTTAGTCCCAAACACTTCCGCGATCTCTATCAGCGCAGCCTAGAACGTATAATCACCTATGGCGCACCAGTATTTTGGCAAACACCACCCCATTCCCACTTGCGCCGGAAACTGATCTCCATCCAGCGTATTCCCTTACTAAAAATATGCAAAGCATTCCACACTGTAAGCAACTCTAATCTCAACATCTTGACCAATATTCTTCCTATTGAACATACGCTTAACCGCGAAATAGCCCTCTTCCATCTTTTTCACCTTAAAATTCCTTTTTCAATCTACGACACCACATACGATCCATCAACACTTCAACACGACATAGACAGATGGGACACTCACCCGGCCCTCCTTCCACACTTCCCACACAGTACAGATGATTCCCCACCCAAAATTCCTCCCTCAACCACCCACCGCATATATACTGACGGTTCCCTATATCTGGACACAGTGGGGTCCGCATATGTGATAATGGATAAAACAGACAACATTATACATTTCGGCAAATACAAGCTTCCATCTTTTGCCTCCATATATGATGCCGAGCTACAGGCTATAAAACAGGCACTGCTGTATGCACAGTCCCTCCCTGATACATTTAGCTTTACTCTTTATTCAGACAGTTACTCAGCCTTGAAAGCAATAGCCAACCCCTACAATACCCACCCTACAGTCTTCAATATTAAGCAGGTGCTACAAACCCTCACAGCCACACATTCCATCCAACTCGTACACATCCGTAGTCACACAAACATATACGGTAATGATCTTGCAGATAGCCTAGCAAATAACGCTCGACACCCGGGTTCATCACTTCCTCTTCAGCGTACCAAACACTACATACGGAAACTCATAAGAACCCAGCAATATCACCTATGGAATAACTTTTGGAATACTGAGTGCACCGAATCGTCCCTCTATAAGTGGATTCCCTCAGTCTTTACCATACCCGAATACTTCCCCTCGAATTATTACCAAACACAGATCCTCACTGAACACGGCAGATTTCCATATGATTTCTTTAAATTTCAAAAATCAACAGACTCTAACTGTCCATGTGGCCAACTGGCTTCATCATTTACACATTACACAACTACATGTCCACTTACTAGTACATTCCGTACCCAATTAAACAGACACTTACCTCAAGGACTAAATGATGCAAATAAACCAAAAGTTGTATCCAACCCGGAGCTCATGGCCATCCTAGAGGCACTCACTTCACACATTCATTCTCTAATGCCACGTTGTTAAAAGATAACACCATTATACGTCATTCAGCATACTGGGGGGGTCGTCGGGGTGGGAGGCTGATCCTCCCTTTGGTAAAAAAAAAAAAAACGAAAAAAACGAAAAGAAAAGAAGAAGGTAAAATGGGAAGTGCAACATCATAAAGGAAAAAAAAAGGGGGAAGAGAAATGTATATATATATACAACAAGGAACAGAAAAATGACGAGGAAAACATTCTCACACTCAACATACCTTAAGGCCTGGTACGTCAAGAAGCCCCACTCCAAGGCGCCAGTCCGAACCCAGACACCTGGGCCCTCGCACTAGGAGGAGAGCAAAGAAGCTCCCAAACTGAAAAAAAAAGAGCAAAAAAGAAAGTTGGCTATGAGCTCTACAGAACTGCAAGACGAGGCACTCGGCACCCGCAGGAGACGAGACTGACTCATGAACCAAAGGCTACCTAAATTACAAAACAACCCATAAAGTGGAACCTATCACAACAGCCCGCAGGGACACTTCTAGGGGGGAGTACCGGGACCTCCCCCAACCCAAAAAAAAAAACAGTACAAACAGAAGGTGGCTGTAAGCACTCAGCCGGCGCAGGCCACGGCGATGGGTGCCCAGGTCGCCCCTGGGTACCTTAGGGAGTCGTTCGATGTCCTTCCCGGGGAATCGGAGGCTGCCCGCCCGGTCCGGGGGTCTCCCCCTAGGCTGGGTCGCGAGGGCCGCGGAATAGGATAGCACTGCAGCGGGAAAAAAAAATGGTGCTTCAGCACGTGAAATGAAATTACAAGACAAGCGGGTGCCAAAAGAGGCCATACCTCACCTTACCAGCTGGGGAGGGTGAACAAGGATAGAGTTACATGTAACTCTGTCGAAATATCCCAGAGGGGGGCGGCGTCTTGGAACCGGCGAAGTCCTAAGGGGCGAAAGTATTTTACCAACCATGAGAAAAAAAAAAGGAAAAGAGAGAGATGTAGGAAAAAAAAAGAGGGAAGTAAAACGAGAAAGGCAAAGAGAAACAACAGGGGAAATTGGCCTCCCAGACCCGGCGACACGGCCCCAGGCACACCCTAAAATCACAATGAAGATATCCCTGAATAAACACCTACATGACAGTCATACTCACACGTCCACTCACGAAGGCCAACATCTGTCCTGACACCTCGGTTCTACATGAAAAAAAAGCAAGGGGGAGAAAGGGACGAAACGAAGGATTATATTGAGAAATCTATAATGTACGAAAAAAAACGGGAGAGAAAAGAAAAATGAGAGGAAAAACGAAAGAAAAAGGGAAATGACAGGATATCTTAGGATACCTAAGGAAAAAAAAAAAGAAAAAAAAAAGG